TGACACTAAGATGTTGAAACAGTTGAGAAGAAGATAATATTGAATGTCTCAGGAACTTGGCATAGATGTAATTTTCAGTAATGTTATCTATATATATATTATATATTATTTATATATATTATATATATATATATATATATATATATATATATATATATATATATATATATATATATATATATATATATATATATATATATGTCGTACTAGTAGCCAGAACTCACTTTTCAGCCTACAATGCAAGGCCCGATTTGCCTAATAAGCCAAGTTTTCATGAATTAATATATTTTGTCTAATTTTTTTCTTATGAAATGATAAAGCAACCCATATCATTAAGTAAGAGGTCAATTTTTTTTTATTGGAGTTAAAATTAACGTAGATATATGACCGAACCTAACCAACCCTACCTAACCTAACCTAACCTATCTTTATAGGTTAGGTTTGGTTAGGTAGCCGAAAAAGTTAGGTTAGGTTAGGTTAGGTACGTTAGGTAGTCGAAAAGCAATTAATTCATGAAAACTTGGCTTATTAGGCAAATCGGGCCTTGCATAGTAGGCTCAGAAGTGAGTTCTGGCTACTAGGTACGACATATATATATATATATATATAGATATATATATATATATATATATATATATATATATATATATATATATATATATATATATGTCGTACCTAGTAGCCAGAACGCACTTCTCAGCCTACTATACAAGGCCCAATTTGCCTAATAAGCCAAGTTTTGACGAAATAATTGTTTTTTCGACTACCTAACCTACCTAACCTAACCTAACCTAACTTTTTCGGCTACCTAACCTAACCTAACCTATAAAGATAGGTTAGGTTAGGTTAGGTAGGGTTGGTTAGGTTCGGTCATATATCAACGTTAATTTTAACTCCAATAAAAAAAAATTGACCTCATACATAATGAAATGGGTAGCTTTATCATTTCATAAAAAAAAATTAGAAAAAATATATTAATTCAGGAAAACATGGCTTATTAGGCAAATCGGGCCTTGAATAGTAGGCCAAAAAGTGAGTTCTGGCTACTAGGTACGACATATATATATATAATATATATATATATATATATATATATATATATATATATATATATATATATATATATATATATATATATATATATATATATCCATATAGATTGCTATGTATCTGTACGCTATCTATCCATGCACCTTCTTATCTATTTATTCATCTATCCAGCCAAGTATCTTTCCATCTGTCTATCCATCTATGTATTCATCTATTGGCATTTCCATCCATCTACCTATCCATCAATTTATCGGTCCATCCATCTACTAATCTATCTAACTATTCATCTATCCATTTATCATCTATCTATCTATCTACTGTCTTTGCTTCTGACTTTGTCTGTGTCTCTCTCTGTCTATCTGTATGTGGCTGTGTCTGTCAGTCTTAGTCACTGTCTGTCTCTGTCTGTACTCACCTAGTTGTGCTTGCGGGGGTTGAGCTCTGGCTCTTTGGTCCCGCCTCTTAACTGTCAATCAACAGGTGTACAGGTTCCTGAGCCTACTGGGCTCTATCATATCTACATTGTAGACTGTGTATGGAGTCAGCCTCCACCACATCACTGCCTAATGTGTTCCACCTGTTAACTACTCTGACACTGAAAAAGTTCTTTCTAACGTCCCTGTGGCTCATGTGGGTACTCGGTCCCCACCTGTGTCCCCTTGTGAATGTCCCACCCGTGTTAAATAATCCATCCATGTCTTCCCTGTCAATTCCCCTTAGAATTTTGTATGTGGTGATCATGTCTTCCCGAGCTGTTCTGTCTTCCAGCGATGTGAGGTGCATTTCACGCAGCCGTTCCTCGTAACTCATGCCTCTTAGTTCTTGGACCAGTCTAGTGGCATACCTCTGAACTTTCTTCAGCTTCGTCTTGTGCTTAACAAGGTACGGGCTCCATGCTGGGGCCGCATACTCCAGGATTGGTCTTACATATGTGGTGTACAAGATTCTGAAGGATTCCTTACACAGGTTCCTGAAGGCTGTTCTGATGTTAGCCAGCCTCGCATACGCCGCTGATGTTATTCTTTTAATGTCAGCTTCAGAAGCAACCCGTCCTCTTAAAGTTTCCCAACGTTAAGAAAACGGTCAGTTTAAAGTGCCCTCTCCTAACCTACCAGAGGTCCCAAAACAGAAAACGGGACATTACGTCACTTTCGTGAGCCGCTTCCATTTTGTAGTGGGACAATATGTGACCTTAAGTAAGGGTTATGAGCGACAAGCGACGCTCGTTGCAAGACAACAGGTTGTCAGGGCACAGATTCGAGGTGATATTAACTGCTAGATCCTTCTTTCTCTCCGTGTCGCGGAGGACTCTATATCTCCCATTCCGTATCCTGTGTCTCACCTTATATTCCCTCTGCCTAGTTTCATCACCTTACATTTTCTTGGGTTGAACTTTAGTAGCCATTTGTTGGACTATTTCTTCAATTTGTCTAGGTCATCTTGTAGCCTCATGCTATCTCCCTCGGTCTTAATACGCTTCATAATTTTAGCATCTTCAGCAAATATTGAGAGGAACGAGTCTATTCCTTCTGGGAGATCATTTACATATATCAGCAACAGTATAGGGAGGGAGGGAGCCGGTCGGCCGAGCGGACAGCACGCTGGATTTGTGATCCTGTGGTCCCAGGTTCGATCCCGGGCGCCGGAGAGGAACAATGGGCAGAGTTTCTTTCACCCTATGCCCCTGTTACCTAGCAGTAAAATAGGTACCTGGGTGTTAATTAACTGTCACGGGCTGCTTCCTGGGAGTGGAGGCCTGGTCGAGGACCGGGCCGCGGGGACACTAAAGCCCCGAAATCATCTCAAAATAGGTCCAAGGACTGACCCCTGCGGGACTCCACTGGTGATGTCTCGCCAATCTGAGACCTCACCCCTCACACAGACTCATTGTCTTCTGTTGCTTAGGTACTCCCTTATCCAATGGAGTACCTTCCCTTTCACTCCTGCCTGCATCTCCAGCTTATACACTAGTCTCCTAAGGGGCACTGTTTCAAAGGCTTTCTGGCAAACAAAAAATATGCAGTCTGCCCACCCCTCTCTATTTTACCTGATTTTTGTTGCCTGGTCATAGTATACAATTAATCCTGTGGGGCAGGACTTGCCATCCCTGAACCCATGCTGATGTTGTGTTACAAAGTTCCTTCGCTCCAGATGTTCCACTAGCTTTTTACGTACAATCCTCTCCATGACCTTGCATGGTATACAAGTTAGGGACACTGGCCTGTAGTTCAGTGCCTCCTGTCTCACTCTTGTTGTTTATCACGACGTTAGTCGTCTTCCAAATTTTTGGCAGTTCTCCTGTTACGAATGATTTGTTGTACACCATTGGCAGTGGTAGGCACAGTCCTTCTGCTCCTTCCTTTAGTATCTATGGTGAGATTCCACCCGGGCCTATAGTCTTTGTCACCTCCAACTCTAGCAGATGCTTCCTCACCTCCCCACTGGTAATCTCAAACTCTTCTAGTGGTTCCTGGTTAACTATTCCCTCTCTTATCTCTGGAACTTCTCCTTGTTCTAATGTGAAGACCTCCTGGAATTACTTATTCAGTTCCTCGCACACTTCCTTGTCGTTTGTAGTGAATCCGTCCGCCCCTATCCTCAGTTTCATTACCTGTTCCTTCACTGTTGCTTTCCTCATGATGTGGCTGTACAACAACTTAGGTGGAGTCTTTGCCTGGCTTGCTATGTCGTGTTCTTATTATCATGCCGCCTCTCTCTCATCCTGACGTATTCATTCCCGGCGCTCTGGTATCTTCCTTCTTCTCTCTGGTGTCATGTTATTTGGCACCACTTTCTGTCTCTTTGTCTCTGTCTATCTCTCTATAGCTGTGACTGACATTCTCAGTCACTAGGTGTGACTAGTCTAGGGGTAGGGGGGACATGGGAGGGTGTTGGGGTAGGTGGGGGGGACATGGGAGGGTGTTGGGTAGGTGGGGGGGGGACATGGGAGGGTGTTGGGGTAGGGGGGGGACATGGGAGGGTCTTGGGGTAGGGGGGACATGGGAGGGTCTTGGGGTAGGGGGGGGGACATGGGAGGGTCTTGGGGTAGGGGGGGGACATGGGAGGGTGTTGGGGTAGGTGGGGGGGACATGGGAGGGTGTTGGGGTAGGTGGGGGGGACATGGGAGGGTGTTGGGGTAGGTGGGGGGGGACATGGGAGGGTGTTGGGGTAGGTGGGGGGGGGACATGGGAGGGTGTTGGGGTAGGTGGGGGGACATGGGAGGGGTTGGGGTAGGTGGGGGGGGACATGGGAGGGTCTAGGGGTAGGGGGGGGGACATGGGAGGGTCTTGGGGTAGGGGGAGGGACATGGGAGGGTGTTGGGGTAGGTGGGGGGGGGACATGGAGGGTCTAGGGGTAGGGGGGGGACATGGGAGGGTCTTGGGTAGGGGGAGGGACATGGGAGGGTGTTGGGGTAGGTGGGGGGGGGGACATGGGAGGGTACAGACCCACCATAGTATAGACACATCATATTCAGTGACAACAGTTGCATGGTTCTATCCCCCATACGATATACTCTGAGGAATATATCACTCGATATATATATATATATATCATCAGTCAGGCATAAATGATAATGCCGCCATATATTACCAAGGTAATGTGACCATGCAGACAATAAAGAACAATAAAGAAGGAGCTGAGAGGGACCATGGCAGGCGAGACTAACAGGTGTGGTTGTGTTGCAGATGTTGGTGTTGTCAGAGGACGGGAAGACCCTGGACGCCTTCCTGAAGGCACCTGTGCCCATATACATGCAGATCTACCTCTTCAACGTCACCAACCCCGACGCCATCCGCTACCACGGCGCCAAGCCTGTCCTCCAGCAGGTCGGACCCTACACCTACCTGTGAGTCTCCCAACACCGCCTCTCTCTGTACCAGTATGTTGGGGGCTGCTACCAGGGGCACGCTTCACGACCCTCGCTTGTAGCTCATCGTCTAGGGTTATCTTGAGAGGTTATCTTGAGATGATTTCGGGGCTTTAGTGTCCCCGCGGCCCGGTCCTCGACCAGGCCTCCACCCCCAGGAAGCAGCCCGTGACAGCTGACTAACACCCAGGTACCTATTTTACTGCTAGGTAACAGGGGCATAGGGTGAAAGAAACTCTGCCCATTGCTTCTCGCCGGCGCCTGGGATCGAACCCAGGACCACAGGATCACAAGCCTAGCGTGCTGTCCGCTCGGCCGACCGGCTCCCTCTTGGGGGTGGGGGCATCTCTCGCAGCCAGGGGCACAGCCAGGGGCAGAGCCGGAGGCACAGCCGGAGGCAGCGTGTAAGTTCACTCAGAGTGTAAACATACCATTGAGAGAGTGGGGAGGGGGGGGGGGGGGTAGAGTGCTTCATTAATAACATCCCAACACTGGCAGCCAGCGGCGACCTTGACCACTCTCTACATAACAAATCAAACACCACCACCAGCCACTGAATGTTACAGTGGCTGGTGGGAACACGTGTACTGTTGTGGCTGGAGTGAACAGGTGTACTGTTGTGGCTGGTGGGAACAGGTGTACTGTTGTGGCTGGAGTGAACAGGTGTACAGTTGTTGCTGGTGTGAACAGCTGTGGCTGGAATGAACAGATGTTCAGCCAGGGAAAAAGCTTGCAATTAAAAGTTGTGAGTCTCCCATAGACAAAATATTTGGCATAAAATTACCGGAACACAGTAACTGGAAAGGGAAGGAAAGTGAATCCAGTACTTTCTCAACTTCTTCCACAGTCTGTTCAAGGTCAAGTCCTTCAATGGTGGTCAGGCACTCGAGTGCATCCTGGGCCTCTACGCTGACCAAGTTCTCTCTGGAGTAGCGTTCGGAGTAATGTTCCACCCAGGGCACCGTGGAAGAAGTTGATCTTGGATCAAATGTGGAAGAAGTTGAGAAAGCCTTGGATTCACTTTCCTCGGGGAAGGCCCCAGCAATGCCGAAGGCGGAATGCCGTCTCGGGGAAGGACGGCATTCCGCCTGAAGTTCTCAAGTGCGCTCGTGGAACACTTCAAACTGAGCTTCATGAACTTGTGTGCCAGTGCTGGAGGGAGGGCTCGGTGCCACAAGACATGAGAGATGCAAACATCATCACTCCCTACAAAAATAAAGGTTGACAGAAGCGATGTCAACAACTATCGCGGCATCTCCCTCCTCAGCGTCGTCGGCAAACTCTTCGCCAGGATCGTCCTGGTCAGGCTCCAAATTTTTGCTGAAAGAGTGAAAGAGTTCCACCCAGCGATTCATCTGCTGATCACGGTCTTTAATGATCTCTCCGGTGGCTTGCTACATAGCCTTCCCGGCTTGGTGCCTCTTCTGATAATTACTTAGTCTCCGGCGGCGGACATCAGAGGAGCTGTCCTGTTTTGTGTTGGGCCTGGTTGACTCCTCCATACATGCCTCTTATGTGGCCGACGGTGGCCGCGGTCAGCATGCTGGAACACAGTCAGAGCCAGTAATCATTATCACGGCGCCTTGTAGCTTGTTCAACTCTACTGTGGGCAGTACGGCGGGCCTCTAGGCTCTTTCCTAAGGGCAAGTTCTTGTAGGGTTGGCAACGAGTGTCTCGCGTTATGCCTGCCACCGGTAACCCAGGGAAGGGAAGTTAACTATCAGGGAAAAGCGCCAAGCCATTACAACTATATAGCTCTTGGAAGGGCAAGGACAAGGATTTGGGATGGGACGGCGGTAAGGAATGGTGCCCAACCACTTGGACGGTCGGGGATTGAACCTGCGCCGGGAGCATCCCAGACACTGCCTTAATCGACTGAGCTACGACAGGGTTAAAAAGGGTTGAAACCGAAGTTCTACTGAACTTACTGGATCCCGTAGCCTCTTCGAATCCTCGTCACGGCCCTTGTGGATTTGTTCATTTGATGCATCACGTTAGTGTGATCTCTGTGTGTGATGATGTAAGGGCGAAGAGGGAGAACGGCCTGTTGACATAGCTCGGGTGCAGGGGGGGGGGGGGGTTGTGTAAAAGCCTGGTTTGTGCCTCGGAGAGACTACGGGATCCAGTAAGTTCAGTAGAACTTCGGTTTCAACCCTTTTTAACCCTGTCGTAGCTCAGTCGATTAAGGCAGTGTCTGGGATGCTCCCGGACACAGGTTCGAATCCTCGTCACGGCCCTTGTGGATTTGTTCGATAGGACTGAAGTAAATGAAGGTTGTGTCGTCAGCAAATAAAATTGGTTTGAGGTGCTGGGAGGCATTTGGAAGGTCATTAATGTAGATGAGAAAGAGGAGAGGGCCAAGTATGCTGCCCTGAGGAACACCAATGTTGATGGGTAGGGTGGGAGAAATTGAATTACTCACAGAAACATACTGGAGCCTGTCAGTAAGGTAAGATTTGAGGTATTGCAGGGAGTGTCCTCTGACTCCATAATGATGTAATTTAAGAAGAAGGTTTTGGTGGTTGACAGTGTCAAAAGCCTTACGCAGGTCCACAAATAACCCAACAGGGAACTCATTTTTATCAAGAGCTGCATGAATCAAGTTAATCATACTAATAAGTGCATCGTTAGTGTTTTTTTGGGTCTGAAGCCATATTGACAAGAGCTAAGTATATTGTGTTTGGCTAGATAAGAGTAAAGCTGCTTGTAGATTAGTTTTTCAAATATTTTTGACAAGTTTGGCAGGACTGATATAGGTCTGTAGTTGTTAACATCTGTGAGATCACCACATTTGTGGACAGGCGTTACTCTCGCTTTTTTTTAGCATATTTGGAAAGGTTTGGAGTTCAAGTGACTTGTTGAAGAGCAATGCAATAGCAGGGGCTAAAGATCTGGAGGCTTTTTTGTAAATTAAAGTTGGTATCTCCTCAAGGGCACTAGACTTGGTTTTAAGGGAAAGGATTATCTCATTAACGTCAGTGGAATTAGTAGGCTTTAGGTACAGAGTCTGTGGATAGTTACCTGTAAGATAGTCCTTAACATCAGTACTGGAAGATGGAATATCATTTGCAAGGGATGACCCAATGGAAGAGAAGAACCTATTGAACTCAATAGCAGTATCAGAGGCTGAAAGCTGACCATCGTTATTGGACAGGAGTGTTGGTTTGTTATTTAAAATCTTCTTTGATCCCAATATTTGTGAAATTGTGCTCCAAGTTTTTTTAATGTTGCCCTTTGTGTGGGTAAATTTATCTTCGCAGTATTTAATTTTGGCTCTTCTAATTATTTTAGATAGCAATGACGAGTAATTCTTTGAAAATTCTTTGGAGACGATTCCTAACCTATACTTGTTCTCAAGGTCATGTTTTTTATTAATGGATTTAAGTATTCCCTTTGTAAGCCAAGGATTGTTTAGCCTTTTAGTTGTGACTTGTTTCGTTACCATAGGACAGTGGGTGTTATAAAGGCTGAGAGTTTTTTGAAGAAAAGATTGCACTGCTAGGTTGATGTCCCCTATGTTACGTAATTCGGATTCCCAGTTGATATTAACAGCAGCAGCTATAAAATTGCCTATAACAGTTTCCTTGTGCAGCCTAAAGCTTATCTCCCTTGTCTCTAGAGGTGGTTTGTTAATGTTAGGAGAAATGTGGGGTAATGGTCTGTAGTGCTATGGATGATTATCCCTGAAGTAAGCGGAGAGGTTATGTTGGTCCAGATGTGATCAAGAGCTTTGGCAGTACTATCAGTGATTCTAGTAGGTCTAGTGATTAAGAGTATGAGGAAGCAGGAATTCATACAGTTGAGGAAACTAGCAGCAGGAGGGTTATCAGGCTCGTAGAGGTCAACGTTAAAGTCCCCAGAAATAATTAAGTGTTTTTTGTTCAGTCTGTTCTCTAGTATAAGATTTCTAAGGTTTGAGTTAAATTCAGTCACATCAGTGTTAGGAACCCTGTAGACTGCTCCCACAGTCAGGACAGCCTCGCCACCCTTGACTCTGAAACAGGCAAATATATACTCTCCATAAGGGTCTCTAGATTTAATTACTTTTAAGCAAGTCAGTTCTTGGTGGTAGTAAAGAGAAGTATCACCATCTCTTTGTATAGGACGACAGTTGTGAATGGCTGAGTATTAAGTATGTTGAAGAGTTGAGTAGTGTCCTCTTTAAACCACGTTTCAGTAAACACAACAAAAGAGAATTTGTTGTCAACAGTTTGAATCAGGACATTAACATCATCAAAGTGTTTGCTTAGAGATCTTACATTCAAGTTAATTACAGAAACATTGTGATTACATGCTAAAACATTGTTTACATCATGTGCTGTGTAATATCTGCAATTTTATAAATAAAGAAATAAATATGTTTATTCAGGTAAGGTACATACATACAAGTGATGTTACATAATGGATTGATATATAGATAGAGCTAGTACATACAATGCCTAAAGCCACTATTACGCAATGCGTTTCGGGCAGGAAAAACATTAATATCTAGAACTTAATACTAATTGAGCATAAAGAATAAAAAGTGTTGAGAACAAATACAAATAAAGATAAAAAAAAAAAAAGGGGGAACATGACTGAAAAAGCAGCACAAATACAATAGGTTGACAAACAGCGTTGATAAAAAAAAAAAAACAGACATGGGTTGACAATAGAGAAGTGAGGTAGGTTACAGGGAATTTATTAGGTATAGCTTCGTTTTTAACTTAAACTGGTTGAGAGAGGTACAGTCTTTAACGTGGTTGGGAAGGTCATTCCACATTCTGGGCCCCTTGATTTGTAGAGCATTTCTAGTTTGATTAAGTCGTACTCTAGGAATATCAAAACTGTATTTATTTCTGGTGTGGTGCTCATGGGTTCTGTTACAACCTTCAATGAAGCTTTTAAGATCAGGATTGGCATTACAGTTTAGCGTTTTATATATGTATAATACACAAGAGAGAATGTGCAGTGACTTAATATCTAACATATTCAGAGAT